TTCTCTGCAGCAGTAATAAAGTGAACATCCCGGGACCTCCCCGTCTTTCCCTACAGCCCCGCTGCCAGCCTAACTGTGGAAGCTCCATGCCAAAGGGTTTCTGCCAGCCTGACTTTCCAAGTGATTGCATACAGAAGAGGTTCCTGGCAACAGCGATCTTGCCCCGGGCTGATCTAGAAGTGAGGAGTAAGATTATGCTATATTTAAGCCATTACACGTTTGGGTCTATTTACTATAGCAGTTTAGCATTGATGGGTGGCGGAACAGTTCACCCCAAATGGGGCACTCTGCCATAAGGGTTATTTTGACCTAAGGGCACCTGAAAAACCAGCAGGTACAAGAAGGGTACTCTGACCTCTCCTCCTCCTCCTGAAAGCAGGTGCTACAACTCCCATGTAAAATAGGGCCTTCCTAGGCAAGAGCATGTGGCAAAGAAACATGCTTATCACCAGAGATGGGGAGTTGAGGCCAACGGAAATCCATACAGACCTTGTTAAAATAACTCTTATCTTCCTTTAGGCCCCCCATACATTTTAGTCACTTTCCCACAATTACCTTTCTTCGTTCAACCTTCAACCTTGTTTATAAACGCTTAGGCCTAGCTATCCTTGGTCTCGGTTTTCCCATAGGGGTTCTCGTGGACATACAAAAATCCACAAGCTTTTTTCCTGCAAATCTGTCTTAGGTCAATTTAATTCTCAGGCCCAGCCAGAGACCCTGAGAAACTACAAGTAAAATCTGGCTTCCCCCACGACAGATCCCAACAACTGTATGTGCCGTGTTTTTAAGTTCTAGTCTCTTTCTAAAGTCACAGGGGAGTAGAGATACCTTAATGGTGTTTTAGCACTTTTGACTCTGTCAAAGATGCCTTCACGTGCCTTACTGCTTAGTGCCACAGTAAGGGAACTTGAAAAGTCACACTTTAAAATCATAGACATAAGGCGCCTGGGTGGCTCAGTTGTTAAGCATCTGACTTCGGCTCACGTCATGATCTCACAGTTCGTGAGTTCGAGTCCCATGTCGGGTATAACATGAGCCTCGAGTCAGGTGAGTCCCGCTTCTCTCTCTCTCTCTCTCTCTCTCTCTCTCTCTCTCTCTCTCTCTCTCCCCCTCCCTCTAGTGGGATTTTCTTTCCCTCTCTTTATCTCTCTGTTCCTCACTCACTTGCACCCTCTAATTAATTAATTAATTAAAAGAAATAAACATTTACTTCAAACTTCTGACATTACGCCATAGAAAATCCCATAGAGCCAGTAACAACAAAACTATTAGGCACATTTTCAATTCCAAACCCGAACTGATAATGAACATCCTCTGAAGATTCACTTTTGTGGTCCAAATTACCAATAGGAAATTATTATTAATGTAGTAACTGTCCTTACCTGCTAAAGATGACATATTGATAATGATGCCGCCTTCACCTCCATTTTGCTTACTCATGTAATCCAAGCCAAGATATGTTCCACTGATAACAGAAACCTAATCCAGAGGCATAAATGGGAAAAGCTATTCATTATACTTCATTGCACAGTCACAGAGCAAAGTTTTTATTGCTATTGCAGATACCCAGGGAGATTTCCGCAAATACTACCCCTGAAAGCTTTTTCAAGTGACTGCTTGCCTTTTTTAAAAGCTAGTCGTTGACTGCATTCTCCTTTGTTTGCCTACTGTTGTGGAGCCCGTCACATCTCTGCAAATCTTCACTTACTGCCCCGCCTGATATTTTATGAATAAAGTTGTATACCCGTGGTGTTTTGTCACTTGACCTCAATTCGCAGCACCTTCCAGTACACAGTTTACAGCATTCTTTCGTGTATACCGTACTGTGTATAGTATTCTTTTTCTTTTCTAAATATTGGACACAATGTATTTACCCTTCTTAGCGTAAGGTTTTCAGATCCAGGTATTTTATATTCAGCTGCTGTGTTTAACTCTTTTGCATTTGGGAATCTATAATAGTGGAAACCCTTGATTTCCTACCCAGTTTTCATCTTTTTTTTTTTTCCTAATGAAAAGTCTATTTTGCATTTGTATCCACTTCTTCCCCCATGTAATGCAGAGGAAGGTGATCTCCCCAGGTTTAGGGTAGATACTGATTAACTCAGTCACAGAAAGCCCATTCTCTATGTCAGTGACTGGCTTAGGAGCCTGTAGGTGACCCACTTCTAGGTGGTGAGATCTGAAGAGCAGTCAGCTAAAAGGGGGCGGGGGGTCCAGGTAGGTGATGGGGTGGTGGGAGAGGAGGTCACCGAAAAAATTTTTGCTTTTAAGAAAACCAGAAAGAAATGATTCCATTTTTCCTTTTTAATCATTTCATAAAGGTGTGATGGCTGGGTTAAATCATTATATTACCAGTGTCCTGAAGATGAAACCTCCACAAAGGAAGATAGACCAGAGAGATGAAAAGAAACTAGGTTCTGATAACACTGTGTTGCAGTCTTAAGCAATCCTGAAGCCTGTGTGGTGTGAGATCATATAACTCTTTTACCCAATTTCAGCACCCCAACTTTTCCGTTAGCTGGACATAGGATCTTCTGTCATGTCTGTCACATAAGTTCGCTCCTCACTCTCGCACCGTCTTTCTGAGAGTTTACTCTGATTTGTTACCTATCTCCACGCGTAGGCAACTCTTCTGTTGCAGGAGTCTGACATTTAAGAATCCACCGCTACCCAGAGTAACTTGTGATACAAAACTTATATTTGAAACCTTATTTTCCCTTTTTAGATGTCAGAACTGCTCTCCTTTCTGACTTAGACTTTTAGAAGGTGGATATTTTCTTTTGACATCTTTATTCCTACTTTTTTCATTCTTTACAAGACTGTAAAGATAATGATGAAATAGGTAATGAGCCTGAAACTGAGGGCATACATTGGTGTTTACCCTTTTTTTTCCCTTAAAGTCCTTTTAGAGTTTTCTTAACAAGCTTTCAATGTTGCCTCTCTACCTAACAGTAGTCCTAGAACAAAAAAGTAAATTGAAGATTCTATTCACTTAAGCCACATGTCAGTTTGATATTAAGTAGGCTTAGGGAGAATGAGTAAAAATCTCCCCATGATTCCCTTTAAAAAGGAAAAAAAAAACCCAAAACATTGATGGTTTATATAAGAAGGAAAAAATGTATATGGCTGAAATTACTGAAGTCAGTCAGATTCTGGTAGTTTCTGCCTAAGTCTCTAGCATGTCTGGACAGAATTTCTATTTATGCATATTGGCGCTATGCTTTTATTCTCAGGTATTTACAGCTTTGCTGACACCCTGCTTTTGTGTTTTCAACATCTACAAGATGCAGCCAGTTAGACAGTTTGGGAATATTTAAGCTTTAATTTTTTAAAGAAGGAAGATTTATTTCCAGGTCTTTGGTGGTGGAGGACAAAGGATTATTTTCCCATCCAGTATCAGGTTAAAAACTGAGTAACTTTTCAAATGAAAGTGTTCTCAGAATAAATCTACAAAACAGGGTCTGATATGCTCTGGCTGGGGCATATAGGATATTTTACCTCTTTTCCTATAACAATCTCTGCCTTATACAGACAATATATTAAATGAAATATTAGGAAACCACAGAATAAAATGTTTTTTTTTTTTTTTTTTGTTAAATTCTAAATATCTTTCTTGTCCCTTGGCAATGTTTATATACCACATAGATCTGGTCATTATAATACCAAGCATCTAGGGGAAAATAAGAAAATGAAAACTACAGACATGCTCTAGCTACAAACCCAAAGTAGCTGGAGTCTATAGTATGATTTCAGTCCATTATATAAAGGTACAATTTAAAAAAAAAAACAACTTTTTTTTAACGTTTATTCATTTTTGAGAGACAGAGAAAGACAGCACAAGCAGGGGAGGGGCAGAGAGAGGGAGACACAGAATCTGAAGTGAGTTCCAGGCTCTGAGCTGTCAGCACAGAGCCCGATGGGGCTCAAACCCACAAAATGTGATATCGTGACCTGAGCTGAAGTTGAACGCTTAGCCAACTGAGCCACCCAGGCGCCCCAAGGTACCCTCAATTTTGTATTTGACCTTCAAAACATTTTGTACTTGACTCTCAAAAAAAAAAAAAAGGAAAGAAAGAAAGTATATCCTGTGTCTAATTTCACATAATAGGAATAAAAATTCAATTAGTGACCAAATGACCTAATTAACACATGCTTACTCCATACTTTTGGTTACGAGCAATTTTTATATGTAAAACCAAAATTATAATTGCACTGTATTCCAGATCTTAAATTAGTTTTTTCCACAGATTAAAGCACTCTATAAGTTAAAACCACTCGTACTTTCCCCTGTAACAAAGATAAATGGATAAATGGTAGTAGCTTACTTGTTTAACTCTTCTTATCAGACATTATGTCTTCTTAGTTTATAGATACATAATGTATTATATATAACATACAATGTTATGTATTACCTATATATTTCTATAACATACATATAATACACATGTGCCTGTGTATTTGCTACTGAAATTTCCTAATCTATCATTTCCCTTCTCTTCCTCCGATCTGGGGTTCCTTTTAGTTTACGGTTCTTGTGCTACATTCTACCTCTAATTTAAAAAATTCTGTCATCTAAATCATGAAACATTGCCTTTCAGGTTTCTTGTCTTTTCACCAGGCCAATTCTCAAGAAATACTAAAATAGATGACCATTTTTTTTCCTGAAATCCTTTTTTTATCTTTTGTTTCTCTGTGTCCAGTCTTTTCCCATTTTTACTCATTTATGCAGTAAATATTATATTTCCCCTTGTAGAACTACTTAAAATTTAGCAAGTTTTGCCTAACCATTAGTGCTCAACTAGACCTTTAGATATTATTGAGTAGCAATAACAGAAAGAAGTTACTAATTTAATTCGTAATTAACATCCTTGGGAACCAAGAAAAGGGAGTACATTTGACAACATTTCTATCTACCTCCTCAACTTTTCCTTAGAGGTAGAGAAGGGCAGAGAAATCAACCTCATATAGAAATCAGACTGTGCCAATGAAAACAATGTAAGTTTTTACAATCTGGAAGAGAAATAAAATTTAGTGAGTGAATACTATGTTCAGGCACTGTGCTGGATACTTCGTGCAAGTTCTGGTTTATTTAAGTGTAACCATCCTTCGTGGCAAGGAAATTATCCCCATCCTCTTACAACTGTGAAACCCAAGACCACAGAAATGAAATAAAAGCTCACACATTCTAAATTCAGGGCTGGAATCTAGTTTTGACTGAATCCAGTCTTGACTGACCTTTCCAGTGCAAATCTTTAGTCAACCCGTGTACGTCTGACAAAAATAATCAATAGCAATAAGCTATCTATTTTGTTTAGTTTTTATTTGAGTACACTAAGGGATTCAATATACATTAGTCACGTGTCCAAATTAGGTTATGAAATCCCACCTGAGCAGGAAGAAGTTAGTCAGGCATATTAAAGGGTCAAAGAGTAAAAGGATTACATCACAGAATGGCCTTACCAGTTCTCAAAGTCAAGTCTACCTCCACCCAATTGCCAGAGCAATCTTTGATAGTTATGAAAAGATTCATTCTTTCCTGAACACTCTTAGCTCTGAGCAGTTCGAAATAAAGATAGCACGGTTGGCTCCAGACGAAGGAGGAGGCACAGACTAGCCTTGTGGGAACAAAAGACTGGGAAGAGGTTTAATGTACCTCTTGTGCGGGGAGAGTGGTGAGATCTGTGGAGTTAAGGATAAGGAAGGGGTAAGTCTGGTAAGGAGTGAAAAGTGGAAGGACAGATGATACAGCCTGGCAACACTGATATATCAGGAAATAATCCGAACAGTGTATTAAAACACAAAAATGAATACCCCTGTATGCAAAATATCATTGAATGACAGTTTATTTATCCAATAAGCATTCACTGAACACCTACTCGGTACACAAAACACAAATTTTGTGCCCTGAAAGAGCTCAGAGTATACTGGCATATAGTGCATGGGTATAAAAAATAATTCTAATGAAAATTTTAAATTTGTAAGCCTTTCTAAGAATGGTATAATAATGTTGTACAAGATTCCAGAAGAGGGAGCAATATGTGGTAAGGTTCTTTAACTAAGGGGTTCTTCTCTTGACAGGGACAGGGGCACAGAAAAATGCAAAAGCACACACAGGATCTTGTAAAAGGAGGCAAATTACATTCAGAGTCTAAAAAAAAAATGTATGTTATGTAAACCAAACACAAATATTTGCATTATACTAACAGATAATCAAGTTGGAAGGATAATGATTGGTCAGATTCTAATCTACTCTTGAAATGGGTGTTGAAGGTAGGAAGGGAAGTAACATGTTTTTGAGTTATATATAGGTAACAAAGGTTATATCTTGCTCTCTCGATGTAAAATTAAACAAATATTAGTTCCTGGAGTTAAGCTAAGGAGTGGCCTATGTCAGCAGAGGCCAAAGAAAAATAAACACCAGATAATTTCAATGAGCAAGGATCCAGGAGAGTGAGTTGTAGACAAAGGAGGCAAATAAAATTCTCCTGGTCTTCCAGAATTTTCTATTTGCAGACAATGTAAGAACTTTCTAGCACACAGCAAGTGTTTATTCACCCAGGCTACATTAAAGCAAACATTCCCTCTCAGTCAGATGAAGATAGACAATTTGAATCCTATTATTTAAGATAATCTCTTCACTATTTTCATGTTCTTTATATTGGCTCTAATCACTGCACACTGTTTTCTGACAGCTGATTTCTCAGAGAAGAGACACAGTAGCTGTCCGTTATGAATACAACAAATATGGAATTTTATACCCTAGTGAACTTTATCTATAAAATATCTGTAGACAGCACTGATGAAATTATTAAAAATATCAGTAGTGATGCTTCAGGGAGAAAATGGCTGTGGGATTTGTGCTTTCTCACTAGCAGAACTCAGTTCAAAGAAATTCTTGCCACGTTATGTGGTTTTGGAAAGTGCCATCAAGTTTATAAAAATGTATTCTTAGTATTCCTGCAGTTCTCAAATGGTTGTACATTCATTTTTTTTTTTTTTAATCTGGCAACCAAAGTATATAATGAAATATTGTTCATAGTAAGTCAGGGGCAACCACCAAAGATTAATAAAATATTCTTAACAGCAAAAAAAAAAAAAAAAAAATTCAGAGGTATCCAGTGGAATTTAAGAAAGGAATGGAGGGGCGCCTGGGTGGCGCAGTCGGTTAAGTGTCCGACTTCAGCCAGGTCACGATCTCGCGGTCCGTGAGTTCGAGCCC